TGAGTGATTGTAGTAGCTAACAAAGTACTCGCATATCTAATTTGCTCAGCTTTTTGTTGATGTCATTGCCACACGTAGAATTTCATCGTGGAATGATCAGAAACGCATTCGGAACATAGCTGTCGTGGATGCCTTAAATCTGAGGTGCGACCAGCAGCCTATCACTCTAACATGATCAGATCAGCTGATCCATGATCAGCTACATGAGCTCTACAAAATGATATATGTCTCATCCCAAAAGGCGGGGGTAAATTCGTGACCCTTCCTTGTAAGTGTAACACCGATCATAGGTGATCAGTGTAGCGATCATTTACTGATTTCGTTTCTGAACGCTCCTTTTGTTAGCAGAGCTCGTAGGCTGCAAAACTTCATTGCAGCCCACCTCCAAAGTACCTTAGAGAATTGAAAAGATAATCTTGAAGTCATTGAAGCAAAAGTCAGCCAGAAAAGTCGTTCACTGGCAAATTGGAAACACCGAAAAGTAGGTTTTCAGAATGGGATGATTGTGTCCGCGCTGGTTGCACACTTCCAACTAGCACCAGCAATCACAATGCCTATCGGTGGAATGTTGTGTACCAATTTCGGTTGGCCATCCGTCTACTACTGGCATGGAATAGCATCATTCGTGTTGTTTTCGATCTTCATTGTAGCATATCGCAACTCACCGAATAAACATCCCATCGTTAGCGATGTTGAACTCAGCAAAATATCACTGGGCAAAGATTTCGTAACGTATGATATCCAATACTTTCTTCGTATATTTGAAACACGTGGCTTGTTGTTTTCTGGCTACTTCCACCGCAGATTTGTTTCTACTCAACTGAGAAAAGTGATCAAACAAAGTCACGAGAAACAATTCTCGAAATTCATAGGCATGATTCCCCAAAATTTTCAAGCATGCACCACCATTCATATGTCCAGGTCAAAGGATGGCAATGTATAATTCCTTTGAGTATTTCAGTAAGTCAGAACAACGGCAAGTACCGTACGGTAAAATTTTGACGACATTCTCAGTGTGGGCGATTTGGATAGCGGCATTCGGCAATTTTACGTGTGTCAATTTGATGTTCCTTTTCTCGCCGACGTTCCTCCACGCTGTGCTCGGATTCCATGTTCACCACACTGGTTTAACGGCCGCATTTGCACCGTTACTTCAATTTGCGATAAAAATCAGTTGTGGTATTGCGAGCGATAAGATCAGAAATGTTGATGAATCTGTTAAGCTGAAGGTTGGTTTCAGTGAATTTTTTTTAATGTGAAGATGTTCACTTGTGCCCCGGCAAAAATTTCAGACAATATATCATCTGAATCGTTGATATTTCAGTTGTCCCGATTTTCTAAGCTTTCATGTAAGGAATTCTCCGATTCCGTCACTTATTGACCTTCTATGATATTCAATTAAATTCGAACATTTCAGGCATTCAATTCATTGG